AATATTCTGTGGATGGCTTTGGATTTGGCAAATGATATGATTGGCCAAAGAGGACCAAGAGAAGAGAAGGTGCTGGAAGTATGCTCCAGACTCTCCCAGTTTCCCTGTCCACGGCATGAAAGATGCTTCTGATGAAAGCCACTGCAACATTTCCTTTATGATTCCTTTTAAAGCCCAAGTCCCTAGAAGATAAATAATGAGACCAAGCTTGCTCGAACCTCATCTTGTGTTTAGAGAGTACAAGGCATGGGAACTATCATTGAGAGGCGCTTGTCACCAATTCACTGCATCTAATTGCTATTTGGGTTTCATATAATTGAGAATGTTGTTTCAGCTACATTGAGGTAAATTTTATGGATAATGGTGCAGAGAACCAAAGATCTAGATACTGCTGAGTTGCTTGAGCAGTTGCCAGCATTACAAGAGCTTCTATATCGGGTACTTGGTTGTCAGGTAATTTATGACCCTTGCTTCAGGTAGATGTAATTATATCCCAGTGACTAGGTTTTTATTACTGAAAATAATGCGGTATGGTTTTGTTTTTAAATATGAGAACTTCCTGGATTTTTCCTTAATTATTGTGGAACATTTTTTACTTCTTTACAGCCTCAAGGAGCCGCCGTTCATAATTTTGTAATTCAGCTAGCCCTTTCATTGGTATGAACCTCTTACATTCTTGCATGTCCAGTGAGAAAGCTTTACTCGTTTGCATGGCTGGTCCTTCTCATTCTCATGTTTTTTTTTATCCTTTTGCAGGTTGCTTCTGAGAGCATCAAAATTTATCAAGCCATCAGTGATGGTACGGTAAACTTAGTTGACAAGGTAAGAATTGATCTGATTGCCAGATAAGCTTGATGTAAATGCAAAAACTGAAACTAACAGTCTTAAAATTCAGTTTTTCGAGATGCAACGGCAAGATGCAATGAAAGCCCTGGAAATTTACAGGCGGGCTGGCCAGCAGGTATTGGCACCAGGCTTGCCGTTTTTGTCAATTCATAGTAGTGCACAAGATATGAGTTGTATTGACATGACTGTAACTTTCTCCATTTTTGCAGGCGGAGAGGCTCTCTGAGTTCTATGAAGTTTGTAAAAATCTTGATATTGGGCGTGGCCAGACATTTACAAAGATTGAACAGGTAGGTTGTCCTCCCTTTGCTATCTGCCTTTTTTATGTCCCCCTCCACACACAAACACACATAAAAAGTACTGAGTTCTGTATCTTGGTTCACATTTTGAAGCCCCCTGCATCATTTTTACAAGCCATGGAAGAATATGTAAGAGAAGCTCCACGGACTTCAACCATTCGTAAGGATCAGGTAGTGTTTGCCCCTCGTCAATTATTCATTGTTTTTTATGCTCTCCCAACTTTTTTGTTCTCCAAGTCCTCTTAAACCGCTCGAAACCAAGACGTCCTCTGAAAATCCACCTGAATAAATGGCATCTCATTTCTAATAAATTAAATCACCTGAACTATTTTTGGGGCACCATAATAAGCAGGTTGCTGATGCTAAACTGGCTGCTCCTAAAGACATTTTGGCCATCGAGTACAAGAAGGAACCGGCAGCGCAAGTTGAACAGCCAGTGGCACCTCCACCAGCCCCGTCTCCCCCACCACCTGAACCAGTTAAAGTAGAACCAGCCGTGACTGAGCCACCTGACTTGTTGGTAAACTTCTACTGCTAGTCAATCTACTCTTGATATCAGTAGATTAAGACATAAAACTATGATTCGTAAGTAGTTTATAATTTACCACAAAGAATTTCGCCAATCATTTTCTTTAAAATATTAAACTATATATTAAATTTATCATGAATTCTGATCTTTTTATAACGTATATTACTAACAAATTATTTACTGTACATGCTTGTCCATGATCGAGAAGAGACTTTATTGGAGTTACCAGTTGTCCCATAACTCAAATTTAATTTTACGTAGTTAGAATTGTTTATTTTAATGCTTGAAAGAAATTGTATGGTCTTCAGAATCTCCGGAAGTAAATAGGGTAGGTATTTTGAAATTTTCAAATAAACAAACACTAAAGTATCTATGAAAAAAATAAAACAAAAGTAGATTGCACATATTACAAACATATTTGTTACTAATTTGAAGTGAGATAACTCCTCTAGAAATATATTTTCTGAGATAATTATCTGCTTTTGGTTAGGGTTTGAATGATCCTGTACCTGAGGCTACTTCCAATTTGGATGAAAAGAATTCTCTGGCGTTGGCTATTGTCCCAGATGGTAGTTCTCTTCTTTCTTTCTGCATTTCCTTCGAATTTCAGTAGCTATAGAAACATTCAATATGTTCTTGGGTGAAGCAAAATTTGAAGTGATTATGTTCCAAATTTTTTTGTGAAGTTACATTTTAGAAGTCAGTAAAGAAATGGGGAACTTTGAAACTTTAAGCTTGTGTGTGATAACTGAATTATTATACACGTGGAGTCAGCTGGACTAATTTTACTGCTTGTGATCACAGCCGATCAAAAAACCAGTTCTGCTCCAAGCCAAGTTAATGGTACTACAACTACCGGCTGGGAATTGGCACTTGTTACGGCACCAAGCTCAAATGAAAATGTAGCTGCTACAAGCAAATTGGTACTTATCTTCTCCCACTAAACATCAAATTTTGCATTCATATTGAATGTATAAACACGATAGTGACGTAAATCAGTAACATTTCCCAACTTTTATTCTATCCTTGCATCAAAATATGTCCAGCAAACTATTATTCTTCTACTTCTCTTAACTTCTAAACAACGTTCTATTCTCTCTTTGCCAAATTATGAATATTATTCTGATAATGATTTGAACTCATTGCCAAAGGCCGGAGGTTTGGACTTGCTTACATTAGACAGCTTGTATGATGATGCAATCAGAAGAAATAATCAGAACGTGAGTTACAATCCATGGGAGCCAGTCCCAGTGCATGGTGCCATGGTGCAACAACAGCCAATCCATGATCCCTTTTTTGCCTCGTCTGCTGTGGCTGCACCTCATTCAGTACAAATGTCAGCTATGGCCAACCAGCAGCAAGCTTTCATGTTGCATCAGCACCAGCATCAGCAACAGATGATGATGATGGCTCCCCCACCGCAACAGTCGAATCCTTTCGGAAATCCTCATGGAACCAATGGCCACCACTACGGTCCGGGTATGCCTGTTCATGCTTCCAATCCATATGCTGGTCTCATTTAACATTATTCAAAGAAATATACTCTTATAGGAATGTTAACGATCAAGCTTTTTTTGGATTGGGAACTGCTAAATATGGAGTATACAGATGTACAATATGTTGTGTATGTGCAGTAGTTAAGCTTAGCTAGAGTGAGATTCTTTTGATAATAATTAGTGAGACAGGCTTTTGATTGATTATTTGTGTCATGAAAGATGGTAATAATGTTTTAGATACTTTGGCAAATTTGCTGGCAAACCTGCTTCGCTATTGTGAATCATTAAGCAGAAAAATTTCTAGTTTTCTTTTTTCCTTTTTGTTTCCTTATTTACTTATTTATTTATTTTTTTGCTGTATGGCTACATAATTTAATTGAAAATATTTTATTTTTCTTTTTAATCAAACGAAATTCAATATATATTTTTTTCCCTGGGCGGTTTGTGTTAGGAATCACGACTCTCCACAATGGTATGATATTGTCCACTTTGAGCATAAGCTCTCATGGCTTTGCTTTGGGCTTCCCCAAAAGGCCTCATACCAATGAAGATAGTATTCCTCACTTATAAACCCATGATCTTCCACTAAATTAACCAATGTGGGACACTCCCAATCCCAATAATCCTCAACAATCCTCCCCTCGAACAAAGCACACTATAAGCCTCCCCTGAGGCTTATGGAGCTCTCGAATAGCCTCCCCTTAATTGAGGCTCGACTCCTTCTCTGGAGCCCTCGAACAAAGTACACCATTTGTTCGACACTTTAGTCACTTTTGACTACACCTTCGAGGCTCGCCATTCTTTGTTCGATATTTGAGGATTCTATTGGCATGGTTAGGTTTAGGGCATGGCTCTGATACCATGTTAGGAATCACGACTCTCCACAATGGTATGATATTGTCCACTTTGAGCATAAGCTCTCATGGCTTTGCTTTGGGCTTCCCCAAAAGGCCTCATACCAATGAAGATAGTATTCCTCACTTATAAACCCATGATCTTCCACTAAATTAACCAATGTGGGACACTCCCAATCCCAATAATCCTCAACAGTTTGCCCAATGGCACCTTGGCAAGGGACAAGGGAACAGAGCCAAGACATCATGTTCTTAGTTTTACTGACCGAATTGGGAGAAACCAGTAGATTGGGTACCAGGTAAAAAAATGTTAATTATTATTTTATTTTTAAAAATTGACTTCTGGTATTTACTTTATAAATAAATGTTTAATTTATTTTGTCTCTGATTTTACTTGTCGAATTGTGTTCCCGGAGCATTATGAACGTTTTATTATTTAAATTTAATTTGTTATAAACTTATTTTAAAACAATAAAATTTTTAATTTGTTAATTTAAATATATATTTGAAATCGAGATTTTATTGATATTTTTCATTTCCATATTTCCACATGAATTTAATTTCTTAACTTTCATTTTTTACTTTGACTGTGAAGGGTTGATTTTACTAAATGTAAAATTTAATTTTACTCCATTATATTTAAAACCTCGAATTTTTCTTTTTTATTGAACAGAAAATTGAAAGATGACTAGATAATTATTTAAGTGTTTAATAGATGTAAGGCTAAATTTGTAATAGCCCGAGGAGAGGCGGTCAAGGGTATATCGGTAATTAAGCAGCGAATCGAGAAGTCGACGTGGCAAAATCCTTGTGGACCTAACTGTGCGGATTTGGTGAGGTAGAGGTGGTTATTCTGGAACGTTTCGCAGAGGATAATCAGAGTCGGCACCGCGAAGAAATAGGCACTTGGTGGAGTTGGGAAAGCGAGAGATCAAAACAGAAACTGTAGAACTCTCTCTGCAAGTGACTTCTGAGAGACGGAGACGAAAAGAGAAGGAACGAAAGAGACGAGACGAGCTTCTTCGCCATTTCCGAAGCTCTCCGAAATGCGTTCTCTCTTTCTGTTTTTCAATTCCATTCAGTAACAATCCGGACGATCGGAATCTGTGAATAACTATGTCTTCGTTGTTTAAGTCTCTCCAAGCGAGCGATGATAATGTCTCAGCCGAATCGCAGTTCAATAGTTCATCCTTGTCGTTGGATTGCGCTCATTTCACCACCGCTGTTCCTTCTGTTGAAGACGATTACTCTGCACTCGGTGAGACGCTGAGCCGTCAGCTACGCGGTTTCACCAACTTTCTCGCTCCTCAACCGTCTTCGGCGGTCGTTTCTCCCGCCGATTCTTCCGACTCGTGTTCGAACTCTTCGTCGCCGTCTCAAACGCTTCAAGGAATTCGCAATGATCTCGCAGAGATTGGCGGTGGTTTGAGAAACGGCTTCTCAATGCTCTCTGTTAAGAGCAACAAGGCTGTTGGAGAGATATCCAGGCTTGCTTCTAACTTGCTGCCGTTTCTGAGTCGTTCTACCGATGATGCAATAGACGAGGAATTCAATGACGAGATTATTGATGATACGCCGGGAATTACGAATGAGGTTCTAAGTTTTGTGAACGACATTTCTTCGCGGCCAGAGTACTGGACGGATTTTCCTTTGGCACTAGATGAAACAGGTAAATCCAAAATCTCTTGCTGTTAATATTTGAGATAGAATTAAAACATATGCCACTATTTAATCGTTGACCAGTGAATTTGGTATAAATAGAGATTAGGATAAAATCATTTTGCCTGCAAATTGTGTGCTATTATATTAAACAAGAGGTGGCTACTGAAATGCTCCGGAGCCTTGTGCAACTGTATTCTCTCCCTCTGTTTTTTTTTTTTCTCTTTTTCTTCTCCTTATTGACCTGTTTCTGTTTTCTTTTTCCGTATGCAAGAATCACTTCCTAATATTATGAAGTCTAATTACCAATATAATTTTGTTAGATGCTGTAATCGATGTAAGATACGAGAGATTAGGCGTGAGGAAGTCAATATATCTCGCAAGTAGAGACTAGACATACCGCCTTAAACTATAAATCTAGATCATGAGCTAAACCAGAGAAGATAAAACAAAACTATATGTTCCTTTCTCCATCACTTTATCTGATTACTTCGATTCATGGAAAATATGTATTTCAAATTGTGGTTTGCCTGTTCTGTTTTTAGAAAGAAGTAGCGAGAGGCATTGATTACTTCGATTTGAGGAACACCTCTCGTCCAAGAACTCCTCCATCCTATCAATTTTGTGTTCGTCCAAATATATTTCTGGTTATAACAATTCAGTGATAACTTAGAAACCAACACTTTCTCCATATTATATCCCAAATTATTCAATATGGTGTCAAGTATGAATATGACTTACTTAGTTCAGTCATATGATAGACAATAAGCACTCATCTGAATTTGGATGTTTACATTTCAAGAATTTGTTGCTGGATGTATTAAACAATTATCAACCCAACGGATTTCGCTTACCATCTTCAGTTGGTATATGGAAAGTGATGATGACCGTAGTTATATACTAATCTCTAAGAGGTAGATGGGGCATATTCGTATTCTGCTTACTCTTAAGTCCAGGCTGTCTTTTCTGTCATCTAACCCCCTCCATAACAAGAGGACAATAATTTTTTGGAGAAACATTTGTAGCACAATGTAAATAAATCTCTTAAATGGTTTGCCCCATGATCTTTGGATCTTTTCCGGGAAGCACAAGTACTTGTTTCTTTCAATTGGTAATTTCTCATCCTTGATTGTGAGTCAAAATCGTTGGGTGCCATTTGTTGAGGATTATTGGGAGTGAGTCCCACATTGGTTAATTTAGTGGAAGATCATGGGTTTATAAGTGAGGAATACTATCTCCACTGGTATGAGACCTTTTGGGGAAGCCCAAAACAAAGCCATGAGAGCTTATGCTCAAAGTGGACAATATCATACCATTGTGAAGAGTCGTGATTTCTAACACCACCCTCCTTATTGCTTCTACATTTTCTCGTTCAATGTTCTCGTCTAGCCTGAGGATGTAGATATCTGACACGCCTCCCATATGGTTGAGCTTTCACTAAACTATGAATACAGTCACCACAATAATGTAGTGCAACTAACCTTTATGTTTAATTGGAATTGCTAATTGGGTTAGCATCAAACCCATGAATATTTTGAACGCAACTTTTATGTTTAATCACTGCAAGTTTTCTCTGTAGTTGTAGTTATTGGGAAGTTAAGTTTCACATTGGGAACATTGTATGCGGATTTTATCCTTCACTGTTAGCGTAAGACTTCGGATTAGCTTTATTGCAGATTTTAAAATGTCTGAAGTTCAAAGAATGCACATTTCAACTGTTGAGCAGTTGGTGCCAAGTATATCATCTCTTAAAATAAAGCTTCAGAGTTTCATGAGCAATGAACTATTCTGGATGATATATTATATACTCTTGCTTCCAAGATTTGATCAACCGGATTTTGAGCTTCTAGCAACCTCTGAGGTAAGACTTATTTCCCTTTTAAATTGCCGTACTTTGCATTTCTAGATTGTTTGCAGTAATTACGAGTAATGCTTGCTGCTGCATGAAAGCCTAATTGGAACTGCTTGAGGATTTTTTTTTAAGCATAAATTGATTTTGGAGTTACTTCATCTTTACATTGAGTTTTTATAAATTTGGATCTGCATCTGCTGAGCTAGAATTCATCTTGTGGCTCTGTCTGTCCTTTCTGTCTCGTGTTTCTGCTTGTTGGACGCCTTGACACATGTCTAGCTTTCATTATTTGCTTTCTGTGTGTTTACTGTATTTCATGGCCCTCATCTGCTGTTCTTACTATTGAAATACTTTTGCTTCCCTTTTCTTTCCATTACTAAGAATATCATGCTAGAATTGTACAGTTTATTTTTGTTGTTCTTTTTCATGCTAGGTCGATGCTAAATATTTCATATAACTTTGATGCATTGCACTAGGATGTATCTTCCGAATTGAATATTAGTATGTATGCCAACATCTATGTGCTGGTGATATCACCATAATTAAATGCCACCCATATTTGAGAGAGAGAGATCATAATGATAATGCCAAATGAAATTGATTGATCCAAAGTTACTGATTTGGTTGGCTTGGTTATGTTTCTGCACTGTTAGTCTGATATAGTTCAAGTAATTAAAAGAACTACTGGTTGTGTTCGGGTTTCTGTATGGCCATTAAGAAAATGGAAACGAAATCGACCATGTGTTTAGGAATATATTTAAAACTTTCTTTAAAAACCAAAAAATGAATAATAAATAATTAAGAAATTAAAGATTAAAATCATTGAACTTTCAGTTTACTTTAAAAACCACAGTTGAACTGAAAAGAATTAACCAGTTGGTTTCAAACCTAATTGTACTTTTTTTATGGTTAATTATGTTGTAGTTTATGAAATTCCCAGGAATGTAGGCTTAAATCTATTTAGACAAAAACAATCCACAGTACGTGCCCTGTAGTTGTTTCTGCAATCTATGGCGTGACTAGTCGATTACATAGAATGATTATGTTGGCTTTAAACACAACTTAGCGATCTCTTACAGCTATGACTTTTAACTTAATTAGAGGGAAACATTCTTAACTACATTAGTTCTGATTCTGTCCCTCTGTTAGGAGCTTATACCATAGGACATGGACATGTTCTGTTGGGAGCTTATACCATAAGGCATGTTTGAGAGTGATTATGAAATCATCAAGCTTAATATGGAACATGATTTTAATCTTTCAAATCAAGTGTTTAGTTTTTACAAAATTGATATTTAAAGGATTAAAGGCATGTCTTGGATAGATTAGAATATGACAAGTGATTTTGACCATTTTAAAATCACTCCCAAATATGCCCTTAATTGTTTTAGTTGGTTTCTTCTTTGCCTATGTCTTTAACGTTTAAGTAATTTCCTTTGGACTGAATGCATTATAAGCAAATCCAATGTCAGAATTCTGTCTTCCTTTTTTGTTTGTTTTTGGAGTATTATTTATTTGAGGCTTTCAGTCAAACTCAAATTCCCACGATAAACAATTTCATATTATTAATTTTTGTTCTTTTTTGGTAGATTGTCGAAGCAAGAAACACTCTTCTAGATAAACTTCAAACGCAAAATACATCACGGGTGAATTCTGAGGATACTTGTGATCAACAGAAGGGAAATATGGCATCTGAGGAAAAGGCAAACTCCTCCCAAATCATTGAAGGAGGTGAAGGATTGGAAATTGGAGAGAAAACCAATCAAGGGTTGGAAAAGGCAGATTCAAAAACTTCTACGGATGCTAAAAATCGGGTTAGGCTTGAAGGTATCTCATTCAGTGATAGTGATATAGAGGGTGATGGGACCGATTTGGCTGGAAGAACAAAGCCCCCAAGGACTTCTTCATCAGCCGAGTCTAATGATTGGGTTCAGCTGCATGAAAATCCAGTCCCAAAGCTGGATCAGCAGAAGGCATGGAAGCAGGACAGAGATTCAGAAGGTGGGGATTCAAGTGATTGGTTTAATGTGGATGAATTTGACTAGAGAAGTGGACATAACCACTAGCCCACCCCGTATTTCCCCAACCTCAACCCAATCTTTTCTCCCCCCAAAAAAGCTCTCGATTAAAAAAGAAAAAAAAAAACCTCGATTTTCTTTACAGTAGAGGAGTGGTCACAAAGGATTAGGTCTTATTTTGTGCATATGATTTCTTCATAAGGTGTTGGGCTTCTAACGCATTGTTTTCCTCTCAATTTAACATTCCAAACTCATCTTAAATCTGATTTCTCTCAATGAATTATGTTTTGACTTAGTTTTTCTACTTTCGAAAATTTAAGCTCACAATATCTATTTACTATTACGTTTTCTATCGTCTAGTTTTTCATCTCTTAAAATGTGCTTGTGAAGTTTTAAAAACAGGGCTGTAGAAACTACTCTGACTAATAAATAAAAAAGAATTTTGAAAATATAAAGTGAAGACAAAATTGTGTATTTAAATGACCTATATGAAATTCATCTCAAGGGTAGACGGTGAACTGAAGCTTAAAGTGGTGTGCTTGGTGACATAGAATTGCGTATCTTACCGGCGTATGCCATAGCTTCTGCTAGGCAGGAGGAATCGATGCTTCCAGCGGCGGCGACTATACGAAGGTTGCATGAAAGTGGGTTGAAATTTGATGTAGTCTGTACAGTATATTTTGAAGAATAAGATTTCGACTGCACATATATTTCAGAGTACAATTTTAGTATAATAAGGCACATGTTCTTGAATGAGTGATGAAGATCACTTAGCTGCGTCTTCTGCATTTGCTTAATTCAAGCAGGACGGCAGTAGCAGCCCTTCGCAGAAAAATGCTAGCAGAATATAAAGGACGATCGTGAAGATGAGCAACAACGAACATCTGCAGGCAGGATAAACGCACACTGTTTATTGTTTTCTTGTTTCCTTCACATTCAAAATAATAATATGGGCAGAAAAACATAATGAGTTATGATTATTTGATCGCTAATAAGGAATTTTGGGTTCCATATGAAAGTGAGGGGGAGTCGGGAGGGGGGCGGACCAGACCCTGATGAAGATCATAGGGCAATTAAAATGCGTAGTTCAAATTAGAAACCAACTCTTACTGATAACAGACAAGTACAAGTTAAGCAAGCTTCGACAGCTTCAAACTAACCAAAAAGATACCCCTGGCCTATACGCACTTGTATACTTCCAGACATAATTACTCAAGGTTCAGTACACTGGCAACATTCCTTAATATGAATCAAAGCATCAATGGTACCAGATAAATTTTAAGAAAGAAAATGTTATTCAAATTATCACACGATGTTGTAATTCATGCCACGTTGGAGAAGAATAAGCACTATTTTTCTTAGATAGTTACAAATTCATAGCATCAATCATATAAGATAAATTTTAAGAAAGATGTGAAGAAAATGTTGTTCAAATTGTCATCTGATGTAATTCATGCCACATTAAAGAAAAGAATAAACACCATTTTTTCTTGGATGGTTACAAAAATTTTGAGTGAATGATCATTTAACGTGGCATAAGTTACCACATGTAATAATTTGAACAACATTTTCTTGATATCTTCTTTAAAGTTTGGTATTATATCATTGATCATATATCTTTTTCCAGCCCTCTAAGCCTCTTTCTATGAAAGACATTAATACAGGGGCCCATCAGCAACGATACCAGAGGATCACAGTTGGCTGGAGGGATACATGTAAAGAACTCTCAATACTAGCACTTACTACGTAACTATTTTAATCACTAGTTGAACTAAACCGATGACTCTTTCTCAATAATTGATAAGAGAATTTATTAAAAAGATTAAATTAACACTTACCAGTCACCAACTTAAGTTTTTTAATTCAATGATTAATTCTTTGTACTCATACGTATTTGGTATTTTGAGGCTCATTACCAAACTTAATAAATTCAGTATCACGATTCTGTATAAGTTTTTCAATTTAAATGCAGAACATGAAAGCAGACATCATTGTTTGTGTAATGCATGGAGTGACTACCTAAACAGCCTTATATGTATTTATACGTATAAATCGATTCAAAGACACTTACGTGAGTTTTAAGTTTCTCCACCACAAGGTGTTTCTGTAGCGACGTGATTGCCTCCTAAATCGAACTGCATTTCCTTGAATGTTTGTAGTTTTATCGACCAGCAAAGCCAAGCGGTCACCCCTCTCCAACACTTTCTCAATATTATCAACCATTACACTCCTCACCTGTCATCAAATACCAATGTTTGATGAATTTCTATTCCGGCATAATTGAAGTATTGTAAACAAATACTGATTAAATGCGAATAAATTTTCTTTAAAGACAGTTATTCAACCATAATATGCCTATTTCTATTCTATTACTGAGTGATGAAACTAAAATGTAAATACAATATTCTGTAACAGACTCGTTATATCAAAACCGCCCCACGAAGACCATCAGATGTTTACATTCTTATCCATCAAGAAAATATTTCTTTAACGTAGTCTGATGCTAATTAAATTCATTGCTGAGAGTCAATGGTAATAAACTGTAACGATTATCAAGCTGGAATTTGGGAAAGCACAGGGAACCACTGTTTCAAAAGATAATAGGATAAACAACTTACATCAAACAGAGTTCAACAAATAATTTTCCGAACTCGCCCGACTCAGTTCACCAAACGGTTTAGCCTATTTGCATTTGCATCGTTAGGAATATTCTTTTCTATCATCGAAGTCTTTTTTTATGCAGTATGATATAGCTAATTAAATTCATTGGTAAGAGCCGGAAGAAGACAGAAACGTGGAAAGCACTAGCAACCGTTATTTCAAATGATTGATAGGATGAACAACTAACTTAGATCAAACAGAGTTTATTAGATAATTTTTTGAACTTGCCTGACTCATTTCACCTTTTAAGCGGTTTAGCCTATCTGCATTTGGATCATTTGAATAATGGTCCATCTGTTGGCTTAGAACCCTTGAAAATTCATCGTTCATGGCATATGCAGGAGCTGAGAGAATTGTGCGAGCATAGGTCTTCACAAATCTTTGATGAATGTCTTCGAGAAATGCAAAAGGAATTCTCCCTGCACATGATAGAAGTTTCATTATCATCGGTTAATGAGACTACTCTCTGATCAAGTTGACAGTGAAACTGCGAACTTGAAGAAAAGTTAGATATAAACGAAATGAAAGCTACGGAAGCAGTCATTTTATTCAGATCAAGAAAACTTCTATTCAACAAAAGTAGATTCGAATTAAGAGAAATCAATCTTGATCTAAAAAATTTCCAAGAGCTCAACAAGAACTAAAACAACGATAATAAAATACAGCATAAACTGTTTAAAAGAAAGTTGTTCAGTGAAGCTTAGCGTATGAAATTTTGAACAATTTATGAATTGGTAGCATTCCGTTTCAAGGAACTAAACTATAAAACGGAAACCAAACAGAAAAATGCAATTTCTCGTAGAAGTTCTCAATCGAATTTGCAGAAGCAGCCTACGAAATCTCGTCAATTAACTTTTTCTTGCAATTCTCCATCAAATCTGGGCGAGAAAGAAGATTCATATAACTGCACCAATTATTTACATTCTCAATATTTACATGGACTAAAGAGTGAAGTAGAAAGCATTTATTATGCAGATTGTTGTGAAAATGATTTAAAACAGATCCGCGCGAGCAAACAGTTTCTTCTGTCCTCAAGAACAATGAAATTAGGTCAACAGAAAATTACAACACAAGCAGAGAACGTCCGAACTTTCGGTTTAAATTTAATAGAAAAGTGTTATATGCTTGTGATAATAACAGTATCATTCTTACACATGAAATTAGGACATCGAGAACGTCCGAGCAAACAGTTTCTTCTGTCCTCGAGAACAATGAAATTCGGTCAACAGAAAACTACAGCACAAGCAGAGAACGTCCGAACTTTCGGTTTAAATTTAATAGAAATGTGTTTTATGCTTGTGATAATAACAGTATCATTCTTACACATCCATTTGGTTTGAACAAATACCAAGAGGAAAATAATGAAGTCGTCATAATTTTTCTCCCAACTCCAAGCTACAAAAGCTCATTCTAAATTTTAAGGGAGAGAAATCAATTCAAAGAGCTCAGGATCGGTTATCAAAAGCATAACGTTGTAAAAACTATCAGAAAAAGACTCTCAGAACGCGTTTTCGGTCCTTAAGTCTCATTAAAAAAAAAAAAACGTATTATCATCTCTATTAGGAACGGAACCTCGACGCCTCGTTGGATTGGAAATCAAACTTAGTTTCAGAAAAAACTCGATAGATCCAATCATTGAAAAGACTTACTTCCGGAGGCTTCATCGGCCATGCAAAGAACGGTAAGGCCATCAGTCTTCTTGATGTGAAAGATATAGCGATCATGAGAATAGGAGGCATTGCTATCATCTTCTCCCTGCTTCATCTTCTCCATGATCTGCCTCGCAATCGCGCTCGCATTCGTCTGAGTAGCGCTGAACTCCGCCAAAACAACGTGTTCTCTGGCGACCATTCCATAGAGAATCCCCATCGCTCCTCTTCACCGCCAAAAACCTATACGTTTCGAGATCTCAAAACGAGAAAAGAATAGGAGTTCGGAGGCCAGAGGCCTCAGGAATCGCAAACCGGGAATAATTTGGCAGAGATCGTTTCTCAGCCGAAAGAGAAGGTTAAGGATTTCTGTTATTTCAAGAGGTCAAGATTTAAGTGGAGGACAGAACGGAGAAGAACCAATTGGAGAAGCGGTGAGTTGGAAATGTGGCGTGGTAGTGCAATGCCATAGCGTTACGCTATGCCGTAGGGGCTACCCCGAATTTGGCGGGAAAAGCTTTTATATGTGCGTTTGTAAATCAGCGGGCACAATCCTGGTTGGTAGCTACCAATGGATCCGAACACATTTCCCTATTTCAATTTGAATTATTTTCCCTATTCAAATATAAAATCAACTCAAAATTACCAAATAAAAATTTTCTTCTCCTAACATTTTACTAAATAAATATGATTCTTCTTAAATGAATATTTAAAAAATAAAAATTTTGCTCATATTAATAAAAAAAAATCTTATAGGAAAATTGAGAAATATTGACGCGTTATTGAAAATATTATTTTTCTTTGGAGCTAACATTAACGTCAAATCATGCGATCAATATCAAAGGTAAAAAAAAAAACGCTCCATAAACATTTTAACTGACACTACTTGAATGTTCCGAGCGTACCAATCAAAACGCAAGATTTTC